GAAGACAGCTGTCATTGGCCCTGTCAAGTGACACTGAGAGGTCACACAGATGAGGGTTGAGAAGTAGCCGTTGGATTCACCACGAGGAGGGGAGTAGCCTTGTGAGAGGAGCTGGGCAGAGGCCAGATTACAGCAGTTGAAGGAAAAAGGAGGTACCACGAGGGAGGAGACGTGGAGAATGCTGGTGAGAAGTTGGCCATTAGACGTTGCATCCCCTACAGTCAGGCAGCTATTTAGAGATTTGCTTGGATTTCCTCTGGGATTCTGTTGGGTATCATACAGCCCATATTTTAGACATAGGTTTGTTCAGACTTTGCTGGGATTGCAATCACTGGGTTCAGTTTGACAGCAGAAAACTCTAGTACCCTAAGGAAGGAAAACCTTTCAAGAACACAATATAGGAATAGCAGGGCTTCTAACAGAGTTGTGATCTTAACCTGTAGTGATGCTGGGCATCTGAACAGAGGAGAGGAAGGGGCGATGTCTCTGTGAGCAGTTCTTTTACGTTGCTTCTGCGGTTATGCAGGATGGTCGATAGGTGGCACTGTGTGTCTGTCCAGCTGTGTTAAGAATAAAGAACCTCTAGCACAAAATATCCCTTAGCATTACAGGAATGGGAATTTTTGTTATTTTTTATACCATATTAGATATTAATGAAATAAAATTGATGTTAATATAGATTTTATTTTAGATCTTTCTGATTTAAATTTCAGGAAAATAACAGGTTATATGTGGTGTTTATAATGGTATGGCTATGACATTCTTTTGGGAGCATAAAGACAAGACCTTTCCAATTGCAGAGGTAATTTAAAATTGAGACTTTCATTTTACATCATGAAATATACATTTATACAGCAAGACAAGGTACTGTTGTTGAGGGCTACTGAAAAATCCAGTCAACATAGTGAACCTGGCTGGGCATAGTGGCTCATGCCTATAATCCTAGCACTTTGGGAGGCCAGGGCAGGAGGATCACTTGAGGCCAGGAGTTCAAAACCAGCCTGGGTAATAGCAAGACCCTGTCTATACAAAAAAATAGAAAAATTAGCCAGGCATGGTGGTGCGTACCTGTAGTGTCAGCTACTTGTGAGGCCGAGGCAGGAGGATCACTTGAGCCCAGGAGTTAGAGGCTGCAGTAAGCTATGATGATGCCACTGTTCTCTGGCCTGGGCAACAGAGCAAGACCCTGTCTCAACAACAAAAAACCCCCAAAATGTAGTGAACGTAATAAACAAATAATGCCTTCACACCATGTGAAAAGTACAAACAAGGACTCAGCCATTTAGCAGGGAGAGGAATGGTCAGAGGACTGCACTGTAAAGACGCAATTTCGATGTAGAAAACTTAGATTCTACAGATGAGCGAAGGTTATTATTTGTAATTTAAAATATACGTTCAATTTAGAAAATTTGAAAAGTACCAAAAACTTCAAGAAAGAAAGCAGAAGTTATTCCTCTGTAATCAGTGTTTATCAGTTATCACTTTGACTGTCTTTTCCTTCTATTTTCATGAAATAACAATAGGTAGAGCTATATCGTGTTATATTTATGTTTCGTACACTGTGTATTAAGCATTAACTTAGCATTATGTTGTGAACACCTAAGTAATTCTTCAAAAACATTATTTTTAGTGATGTCTGATGCTCCATGCTGTGTCTATTTCAATACCAACTCTTTTCCTACATTTAGGTTTTTGGTATTTTTCTAGTTTAGGTCAAGATTTATTTCTTTACCAGGATATATATGTTTCTCTGGCATAATCTGACATACACAAGAGTCTGTAATTAATGATGCTTTTGAAGTTGAATGATTCTGGTCTGAGAATTTGCTGGCTCGAGTGAAGCAGATACTTTCTGTCTAAAATGCTTATTACCTCGCTCGACAAGTCTTTGAATACATTTGGATCCAATCAAAATTTTAAGTGGACTTCGGGAAGGGAATAACTGGGTATCAGGAAAATGTCTTTCCAGAAGATTACTGGTGGCTAGAACTACAAACCATAAAGTTTACTGTTTGTTCACATTTTATGTGCTAAGAAATCACTTTGTTTTCTAAATTTAACTGTTTTTAGAATGAATCACATTGAATTTTAGCTTTCGTTAAAAGTGTTTTGAGAAGTTTTGTTTCACATCCTCATGGGTAAGAGCGTAGGCTCCAGAGCCCACGCTCTGGGTTTCATACAGACGCAGCCGCTTACAAGCTCCGTGCTGATGCGCTAGCGTCTGAGCCTCCTGGAGCCTCTACTTTCCCAGGTGCGAGATGGGCGTAATAACTGTAACTGTCTTAGAGAATTGCGAGATAATCTGCACGAAGGAGAAAGCATAGTGCTTGATATGTGGTAAATACTATTACAGGCATAACAGGAGATATTGAGGGTTGGGTTCCAGACCATCCCAATAAAGTGAATATTGCAGTAAAGTCACACAAATTTTTTGGTTTCCCAGTACATATAAAAGTTATATTTATGCTATATTATAGTTTGTTGAGTGTGTAATAGCATTATGTCTAAAAAAACCCCAATGTATATGCCTTAAATAAAAAATACATTATTGCTAAAAAATATTGACACAAAGCACATACTATTGGAAAAATGGTGCCAGTACTTGACACAGGGTTGCCACAAACTTTCAACTTTATTTTTTACGTTTTAAAATTATTTGTTAATAATTTTTTTTTTTTTTTTTAAATAAAAGGGTCTCAGTTTGTTACCCAGACTGGAGTGCAATGGCATGATCATAGTTCACTGCAGCCTCGAACTCCTGGGCTCAAGTGATCGTCCTGCCTCTGCCTCCCAAGCAGCTGGGACTGCAAGGACTGCGGATGCACACCACCATGCCCGGCTAATTTTTTATTTTATTTTTTGTAGAGACAGGTTCTTGCTGTGTTGCTCAGGCTGGTCCTGAACTCTTAGCCTCAAGCAATCCTCCCACTTCTGTTGGGGGTTTGTGACGTCCCCAGTAAAGATAGGGTCCCCTGGCAGAATGTGTTGCAAGAGATGAATGAAACAAAGACACAGACACAGAAATAATATTTAAGAGTGTGGGGAAATCAGGGGACCACCAGCATTCCGGTGCCAAGGTGGTGGCAACTGAAACCCAGCACTTGCTTTTTATTCTCATTGCCATGCTGCAAAATACAATGATCTCATGTGAAAAAATCACGGGATACAACGATCGAAGGTTTCGGGGCTCCCCCCAAAATCACAAGGTATACTAGCTAATTTCCTTCTCCTTTCTAGAAGTGAAAAACACATAATTCTTCAGTAGGTACAATCCTTTTGATCAAGGTAAACTAACTAATTTTACCCCAAGCTCAAGCTGTGTATATGGATATCAATCTCTAACTTCAGTAGCTGTGACCCATTGGATCAGGGAACAAAGAAACTACATGCTTTCCACTGGGAGACTGGTTTTATATTAACTGAGGCATTGTTGAGAGAAAGGGGAGAGAAGGAGCTTGGCCCAGTGTTCAAACAATGGAAGCCCTGAGACCCTTCTCCCGGGCTGACATATGGCAGTCTACCTCTACAGTCATGAGAAGTTTTCATGTCAGGCCGCCCGCGGCTTTTCATGCACGAGACCCCTTAGGCTCTGAGGTGGGAGCGTGCTTTGCTGTACTCCCAGATCGCTGAGATATGTCCCCCAACTAGGCAGTTAACATCTGCCCTAATTTCAGGCTTCTGCTCAGGCAATTCCTTCACCTCCTACCCTCTCATAGCCTCAGACATAGCATCCCTCAGTCCCAGTGGTCTTAATCCCATCACACTTCAGCCTCCCAAAGTGCTGGGATTACAGACATGAGCCAGCACTCTTGGCCTCAATTTATAAAAAACACAGTACCTGTGAAGCAAAAGTACAACAAAATGATATGTGCCTGTATTTACTAAGTAAATATTGTTATTACTAATATTAAGCGATTAATATTAAGTACTAAGTAAATATTATTCTTTTATCAGATTCTCTTAATCCCGTGGCCCTGAGCATGGGCTCTGAAGTCAGGCAGGTCTGCAGCGTACTAGCTGTGTGGCTTTGGGCTAGTTACTTAACTTCTGACCGTTGGCACTTTAATCTGAAAATGAGGCAATGATACCGACTTCCAAGTGCCGTGAGGCTCAAGTGGGACAGTGAGCACCATAGCCTAGTAACTGGCACATGCTGAGCATGTTGTCACTAGTGTTAATACTGATGACAAATTAAGTGGTGAATAAGCCCTTACAAATTAAAAAACAAGACACACAGAAAGAAAATATCTAGTGAATAAGGTGAGGTGGAATGTGAGCAAACACTGGGAGTTTGAAATGACAGACGATCTATTTAGATTTAGTTTGGAGAAAATGCTACAGTTGTATTTCAGTCCAATAGAGTAGTTGTATGAAATACATTTTTCTTACTGAATTGATTCAGTTGAGGGGGAAGGGAGAAATTCTGTTTTGTGATTTTGTAAATCAGTAATCAGATTTGGTTTGACTTTTGGCAGATTAGTGCATTTTGGGTTTCAGGTTTTTATTATAAGACTCTAACAGAGATTATGTATTATGAAAAGAACAGGGAGAGACAGTCCCCCTTCAGCCGAAGTTGGTTTATGGAGGAGCCAGGGTGGAAGTGTGAGGATCCCGGCTTTGGCCGGGTAGCAGACGGTGCTACGGCACGGAGGCAGCGCGAGCAGGGTGTCTGCACCAGCCCTGCAAGCGCCATTCGTTCATTTATTCACTGGGCAGTATTTGTGGGGGACCTGCCATCTGCCAGTCATGGTTCTGGGCACTGCGGGATCAGCTGTGACCAGAACAGGAGAAAGAGCTGTTTTTTTCCTGTCACAGGAAAAAAATACAATCTACACTTTTGTGCTAACTAACTTTTCGTCAGTTACTTTATCTTTTCATATAGGGCCAGTGTGTCATTCACATAAGCGATGGGACGTGTGGGAATTAGGTGGTTGGGCAATTACTAGAACATTGTGGGTGGTGATTTCATCCAAGGCACCCCTCTGCTTTGTGTCTTGTAGAATGTCGTTCTTTCAGGGGGCTCCACAATGTTCAGGGATTTTGGACGTCGACTGCAGAGAGATTTGAAAAGAGTGGTGGATGCCAGATTAAAACTCAGTGAGGAGCTCAGCGGCGGGAGAATAAAGGTAGGAGACAGGGGCCCCTCCCTGCTGATGCAGCGGGTTTCTGTGCTGGCATTGACTTGGCTCCCTCTTTTTAACACAGAGCTAAAGGAGCTTGTTTGGATAGCATGAAATAAAAATAATTTGAATCATTTTCTTAGCCACACTGTGAAATTATAACAGAGGTTTGTTGCCCGAACTCATTCCAAGCATGTGGTTAAGACTGATATACCTAGTGAGGCAGCAACAACAATTTTATACCCTCACTGATCCACGTTGGCTTGTAATTTTCTTTTGTGTTGTAAGAGATCAGGCATGTAGTGTAATGACCAGTGTCCCAAGGAGATGGGATTAATTTATGGTGAGGATCTTAATGCCCTTTGGAAATGTTCTCATTAAACTAAAATTACTAATATTAGCAGGGAGTTACAATGTGTTCCTCCAAGATAGTAATTCCTAACCAGCTGGTGATTTTATTTGGGCTTTTAACCAAGAGTGGGCTTTGATAGAGGAAGTAGGAGCAAGGAAGAGAGTCCAAGTGGAGTCAACTGTTGGAAAAGTGCAGTTTCTTTTAGTATTTTGGGATAGTTAGTCCCAAATGCAATCAAAACCACAGTGAGATATTGTGTAACCCTAGTCAGAATGGCTATTATTAAAAAGACAGAAAAATAACAGATGTTAGCAGGGATGCAGAGAAGAGGGAACTTCTTATACATTGTTGGTGGGAATGTAAATTAGCACAGCCACTATGGAAAACAGTATGGAGATTTCTCAAAAAACTAAAAATGGAATTACCTTTCGATCCAGAAGTCCCACTACTGGATATCTACTCAAAGAAAAAGAAATCAGTATATCAAAGGGATACCTGCTCTCACATGTTTATTGCAGCACTGTTCACAATAGCAAAGATACAGAATCAACTGAAGTGTCCATTAGCAGATGAATGGATAAAAGGTGGTATACGTACCTAATGGGGTACTAGTTAGCCATAAAAAAGAATGAAATCCTGTCATTTGCCACAACATGTATAGAACTGGAGGTGGATATGTTATATGAAATAAACTAGGCACAAAAAGACAAATAGCATGTTTTCTCTTACATGTGGAAGCTAAACAATTTGAACACAGTGGAGGTGGAGAGAGGAACAATAGATAACAGAGGCTGGAAGGGTGCACAGCGGGTGGGAGGAGGATGGAGAGAAGTAGACTGAAGGTACAAACACACAGCAAGCTAGAAGGAATGAATTCATTGTTCGATAGCACAGTAGGATGATGACACTAAAACGCCCTAAATACCCTGACTTGGTCAGTACGCATTATATACACGTAAAAATTTCTCATGTACCCCATAACTTTGCACAGATAGAAAAAAATGAGAAGGCATCTTATAAAATTTGTAATTTTTTTTTATTTGTATGCTTGGACTAAACATATGTTACCTTGTTTTCCAGCCCAAGCCCGTGGAGGTTCAGGTAATAACGCACCACATGCAGCGCTATGCCGTGTGGTTTGGCGGCTCCATGCTGGCCTCAACTGTAAGTCCCTTTCACATCGTTCTGTATTTTTATTTCTGTGTTCTCTGTTGAGTTTGGGTAGACACTGTCGACGAAGGTGAAGTAGTGTGTATTCTAATTGTGTCGCTTTAAACAGACACTTAAATCTTTAAGATATAAAATGTATTTTAATGATCATTAGATTGCACAACTAATTTGAAAGTACCCTTGCTAATTAGGGATTACAGATAACATGGACAAGTGAAATCCAAAAATAATCTAAAAAAATCTTGCATTCGTCATGAGTTCCCATTACTTTTCCAAATAATTATTACTTGTCCCCCTCAGATTCCTTATAGCTAACACACTGTTAATGTAGGGCCAGCACATAGTTGGTCCTAAGAAAATAGAGTCTAACTAAATATTTGAAAAATGAAATAAACCCCACTTTAGTAGTTTAGTACATCATGGAGGTCAAAATCTTACAACAGTGGTCTGGAGAAGGAGAATGGAGGTTTAGATGAGGAGAGTTTCTGTTTTGCTTAGTAGTTTATGTAATTTTACTTTCTTTCTGAAATATTTATCTTTTCCTTCTACCTGATGCCTCTTGCAGCCCGAGTTCTTTCAGGTCTGTCACACCAAGAAGGACTATGAGGAGTACGGCCCCAGCATCTGCCGCCATAACCCTGTCTTTGGAGTCATGTCTTAGTGTCTGCCTGGAAATCAGTGTTCGATAGCGTCACGTTGGGGAACAAGTGCCCTTCAGAACCCAGAGAAGACTGCAGTTCCTGTAAATAACGACGTTCGGTGTTGGTGTCCGAGCAGCGTGCTTGCGTCGCCCCGTGCATGAGGCACAGCGCAGTTTCCAGTAAAAGCCATCTATTCACGTGCCGACTGTTGTAAGCCCACCCTCCTCCCCTCGCGCCCCCTTCTTACTCCCCATTTCCCCTCCTCCTCTTCAGAGCTTCTAGTTTACAAATACAATTCTGAAGGAATTCAAATGTGACTTTAAAAATTGTTAGAGAAAAAAAATTAGAAAATGGCGCAAAATAGTCCTTCCCCCCCAAAAGAATGTATGGGTGTAAACCCTTTTCCTCCCAGCCTATTTTTGTAAATAAAATGTTATAAACTTGAAATACAAATCAATGTTTATATTTCCTATCATTTTGTATTTTATGGTATTTGGTACAACTGGTTGATTCTAAGCACGAATAGATATTGATGTCACGGAGTGCTGTAATAAAAAGTTTTTAATTGTGAGGCATGTTCTGATATGTTTATAGGCAAACAGAATAAAACAGCGACCTTTTTGCCACATGTTTGCTAGAAAATGATTACACTTTATGGGAGTTGACACGAAGTTTGAACATTAAACAGTATTGTATGAGAATTATTACAGATACTGTATCTTTTAGTTTTTTTGTTTGAACTTTCTGGAAGTGTTTTATAGAAGATGATGGTTTGTTGTTGGTGAGTGTTGGATAAAGTACTACCTTGCACCATTGTAATAAAAGCTGTTAGAATGTTTATAAATACTTTTCTGCTATAGTGTGGTGGTCTTTTGGCTTTTCCCCTTGTCTCTGTACTTCTTTTAAAGAATGTTGACATTTGTTTCACATCAGTGGAGGATTCGATTAATACCAAGTTTGTGGGAGGAAATTTCTTAAAATGCTGTGGATTGCCTGCTCTGCAGTGACCGCTCCATCCCTGGGAGTATCATGAGTATGGGTAACCATGTTGGAGATGTGTTTTGGGCCAGGGCATAGTGGGAGGGCATTCCTAATGATTTCCAGTGTCGCTTCCTAGAAATTCAGGATTCGTGGCTTTAACGTTCAGTAACTACTCTGGCATTTGCTGTGTACGTTGCTGGCTTGAAAGATAATTTGCTAAATTATAATAGATTTAGGTTTATTGCATTCTTCACATAATCTTTATAATTATGTTACTTTTAAAACTGTTATTTATGATGTCCCTTCTAAGTTCCTTCTGTGCTTTATCTTCAGAAAATTTGCCTTCATAAAGAAATGTGATTTTATCATTTCAGTTTAAAAAACAAGTTTAAGAAGAATAAAGTCACTATGGTAAGATCTGAGTTTACCAAGCCTTGGATGGCAGCATTGTCACCACACTAGGTCCTCAGTCTCCCCAGTCAGGAGTCTGATACCACCTGGTTCTTCTTCATGCAAACAAATTGCTTCTCCACGTTCCCCCGGGGGTTTGCTACTTCTCAGGATTTTCCAGCCATCGCACTGTGACAGTTCCCAGTTGTCTGTCTGCCTTTAGTCGCACCCATGCATCCTAAACATGGCGGCAAGAGTAATTTCTTTTAACACCATTTCATCCTAGTTCTGTGCTGTTCGGGGACTATGGTGCTTGCCTGGTTCTTCTGCCCAGTCTTACCCGTCTCAGTCGTGCCCTCCCATTTGGGCCCTTGGCCTTCCCCGGCTCAGTGTGCTGTGCGTTTCTCCCGGTGGATGCTTTCATTTGTGCTTCTGCTCTGCGTTTGTGCATTCGGCAGGTGCTTTCTCGCACCTTCTCCAAACTCCTGGATGACACCACTCCTAGACACCAGTACTGTTACCAACACGGGCTAAGCTAGCGCTAACAAAACCTGTTCTTAGACCACAGGACACCTAAAGCTTGCCATTTCCTCAAGATAATCTTTGAGATTGTATTTATGTTTGTCAACTTGAAGGATCGAGGGAGAGCATTTTATTGGAAACATAAATTGATTGGACAGAATGACCTATTAGAACATGACTGGTGTAGCGCTGAGGTTCTCGGCCCTGGCCGAGACCCACCCTAGCTCATGAATCAGGATGGAGGACGGCAGGAGTCGGGAAGGCGTCCATCTTTCGGTTTTGCTTTTAATCTCCTTAAGTGATGCCAAGCTGTAGGTGGGTCTGGAAACCCTAATGAGCATAAAGAAGGGCTTTTGACTCAGATCTGAGTATGAATTCTGGCTGTTCCTTAAGCAAATGGTATCTTACCCTCTGTTTCCTTATCTGTGTGAGAACTGTGATGGTCTCATCCGTTAACAGATTTGAATTATAATTTTTTTAATACAATAAGCCTGCCAGATATTAATATCATATAGAAATGAACTGTGATGTTGCAATGTGCATTGGTTACTTCATAAGGAAGAAAAATTCTTAGAGTTATGTTACTAATTTTAAGAAAATCTAGGCATACCTTTAGTTCAGGTTGAATTAATTAGCTCTAGATCATAATATAGTAATAAGTTAAGTATTCCTAGAATTGATGGCTAAAATTGACCTTCTGTGACAAAATTACAACTCCAAATGAATAGTTTTCTATAAAAAATTTGAACAAATAATGCTCTAACATATTCTAAAATAAGTCAACAGTCTTTAGAACTATTGAGACAAACGTTTTAATAGTGCAGGAAGTTGCTTTGCCCTATTTAACAGATTTAGATACGAACTCTATGATGATAAGAATATTATATAAATGACTTTAAA